GGACCTGAATTCAATATCTGAATTCAGGCCCTGTTGTACGCACCCCCCTTCATTTTACTAGTTCACTGTAAACAGCACCCCCCTCTCTAATTATTATTTTTTCTCTTTATAAATTTATTTATATGTTTATTTACTTATTTATTTTTTTTGTATTTATATATATATATATATATATATATATATATATATATATATATATATATATATATATATATATATATATATATATATATATATATATATATATATATATATATATATATATATATATATATATATATATATATATATTTTAATAATTATAATATTATTTATTATTTATTATTTTAAATAATTATTTATTTTAGACTTAGCAAAAATGTAATATTATTTATTTACATAAAATCACATTTCTAAGTTATTACTAAAAAAATATTTCTCAGCATATAATTGACTTTAATATTTCATATCAAGATATTAAAACCCGCACGATTCACTAAAACTCTACGTTTGCGAGTGACATGTGGCCAATATTTGGCCACGTGATAAGAGGACTATATCAGACTCTTCAGCTTCATACTCTAAAAAATACACAAACAAACGTCTAACTATTTTTGTAATAAATTAAAATAATTAACTTTCAAAAAAGAATACAAGGAGTTTTTAACTAACTTCGCGCTTAGTTCAAAATCTCCGTTACCTACACGTTCGAACTAAGTACGGGGAAAATTAAAATATCTGTGTAATCCATAAAAAATAAAAACCAATCGCAAACTACGAAATGGGGCTCTGAGTCCTCCTAGGAGGATGCGTAGGCATACGATCAAAAATCGTGGTGAGTTCCCCCTATTTAAAATTAAAACCATTTTCCCCTAATTAAAATTAAAACCTTTTTTCCCGCTAACTAAAATTCAAACCCCTTTTTCTTAATAAACAATAAAAACACTATTTTCTAAACATTGCTCTTTTAAAACTAGTATCCTTGCGAACAAGGTAGATAAGGGGTGCCTAACACCTTCCCCTCGTCTTGAACTGAGTCCAACCTAGAACCTCTGAATTTCTTTTAGGGTTATTCCTTTATACTCCCTTCCTTTAGGATAAAAATTAAGGGTGGCGACTCTGATTTAAAAACCAGTTGCAACAGCTGGCGACTCTGCTGGGGAGTCAACCCTAGGTTTAGAAGCCTCACCTTTAGGTTTTAGGGTTTTCTTATTTATTGGGTTTTTATTTCTTTCTTATTTTATTTATTTATTCATTTTCTTTCTTATTTATTATTATTTATTATATTTATATATTATATTTATATATCCGTGGTGGGATTTATAATTTTGCAAAAAAAAAAATTTAAAAACCCTTAGAAAGAAGGTTAGCCTATTAGCCAAGGAGTTACATTAGCTCTATGAGTTTATGTGACGACTTCGCTTAGAGTCGATAGAATTCCGCAAAAGGAATACCTCTCGAGAAATATCCTCTTGGTAATTAGGACTTTGGAATGATACCTATGACTCTTTGTACGGTCTTTAAACCAAAAAACTCGTGATGAGACCTTTCATGACCTAGAGACGAAAGTTTCGGTCTGTAAAGAGACTCCTCTTAAGGGAGATCTCATACCCCAAATTTTCCCGCCATAGTGCTACCATCAAAGTTATTTTCAATCTTGGGTTTTACAGGGTAAAATTCTTTGGTTTAATTGCGTTAATATTTTGGGGGTTTTAATAAATATTCGCTTTCAAGTCTGTGTAAAAATATATTAATTATTTGTATTTTTAAAATAGCAAGTAATTGTTCGTCTTCATATACTTTCAATTGACTTTTTATTTCAAGCAAATAACATAGCACAATTGGTAAGAAAACACAACTTGGAAGCATAAGGTCACGAGTTCAAATCTCACTTTGTACATTTTTTATATTTCTTTGTTTATTGTTACTAATTTTATTTTCATTTATAAAAATCATTAAAAAAATCATTTTTTATATATTTAAATATTAAATTTCGTATTTTCAATCAATGAATTTTTAAAAAATAGTTTTTTTTTTATTTTTTTCACCTTTTATTCTAAAAATAACCAAAAAAATCTAAAATACAAAAATATTTAAAAATATTTTGTTATCTTTTGTATTTTAGGTGGTAATATTTGTTTTAGGAGAGAATCAATGTAATTGGTTACAATAATTATAAATCCAAAAATTTGATTTCTTTTTGGGTTTTAATTATTTGGATTGATGATTTATTTTATTCTATTTTTGTTAATTTTATTTTCAAGTTACATTCAAATCTTCCCAAAAATCATGTTTCTTATTATTTAAATATTATTTTCGTTTTTCTATTTTAGGCAATTTTTAATAATAATATTTAATTTATTTTATGTATTTTTCATCAAAAAGTGTCTAAAAATTCACTAAAAAAACCAAATCTTTTTCGGTGACAATATTACAAATCAATTACCAAATCAAATCTAAATACTATAGAAAACTAAATCTCAATCTTCACTAAAACAAAATCAAATATATTACAGAAAGTAATTAACAGAACAAATCCAATACAACAAATATATCAATTAAAACGTAGTAGATAAATATAAGTTAGTTGAAAATTAGTTGAAAATAACCGTAAAGACTTTGGATGCATTGTCATTTGGCTTAGCTAACCTAATGTTTTTTCCTACCAATAGCGTATTTTTTACTAATACATTTTGCAAGGAGTGAAAAATTTTCAAAATTGAAATAATAACTCCTCTTTCTCTCTCTCAAAATGTATACCTTTCATCTTTTAGTCCTCGTCAATCACCTTCTTTATTATAGAAAGAGATCTTGTTATTTAACTTGTTATAATTGTTGAATTTACTACTTTCATTTGCATTATTGTTATTATTATTCAATTTTAATATTACAGTTTTACTTTCCATTTAATGGGTATTCGCGGTTCAGTTTGAATCGATTTTGAGATAACGATTCATATAATTTAAAGATAAATTTACAAGTTTGGTTTGACTTTAAATGATTGACTAACAAAATTTAATTTGATCCGATTTAATTTAGATCGATTTTTGAATATCTAAATTATAAATTATATTTTTTATTAAAATTATAAAAATATTAATAAATAATAGATTTGATATATATATATATATATATATATATATATATATATATATATATATATATATATATATATATATATATATATATATATATATATATATATATATATATATATATATATATATATATATATATATATATATATATATATATATATATATATATATATATATATATATATATATAACATATAGTATATAAAAAATTAATATTATAAAATAAATTGTTTGAGGGTCAATTTTTTTTGACTTTTTTTTTTAAATGATTTTTATAGTGTTACATAATTTTGTGTAAAAAAAATTATAAATAAAATTTTTATAAAATATTCGAATGAAAATTGAATTTGAATAGTTATTTTTAAAATATTATTTTATGTATTCCATCTTTTTATTGAAATTTTTTTTTATACTAAAATTTTAAAAAATCACTTAATTTTGAAATTATTTCAAGTAGATTTTCATAAAAATTATTTTTGAAATACAACTTTTAAAAAAAATGTGATTTTGAATATATTTTGATCTTCAATAATATAACATGTTTAAGTTATAGGATGTCAAAATTATTATTTTAATTTAGAAAAAAAGAATATAAAAAAAGCTTTTAATATTTTAAAAACCGATTTTCAAAAATAAAAAGAAAAAATTCACTTTTTTAAAAACCGAAACAAACGGGAGTTGATTGTGGTTGAAACAAATAAAATAATAAAAATAAATAGATTAAATTAAACTAATAAATAATTTTAAAAAAAAAAAAGAAATATTATGAATAATAAATTAATACAATATACAATATGTCATATTAATAAAAATATTAAATATGTATTAAAATATATATATATATATATATATATATATATATATATATATATATATATATATATATATATATATATATATATATATATATATATATATATATATATATATATATATATATATACACGTGGTTCGGTTTAATTTAGATCGATTTTAGAAAATCAATTTAAAATTTAATCGGAACCGAACAGTGTTATAAAAGGAAATACAAACATATCCAAAAAATATTTGTTTTTGTGCGATTTTTGATTTCTTTGAATTGATTTACAATTTTTATTTGAGTCGATTTGGATTTGAATAACCCTAGTTTAACATTAATTATTTGATTTAGATAAATTTGCTAAAAATTGATGACTAATTATTTTGTTTTTACTTAATGTTAAGACTTGTAATTAAGATAGTTTTTAGCATGAAATGATGACTGTGTAGTAATAATTTTATGTGTAGTAATTTATTGATTAATATATTGATTATTTAGTTTGACCACATTTAAGAGGTTGAATCTGATTCAACGATCTCACCGATTCAATCTATGGTCCTATTTTTAAAACAAACAAACTTAGATTCTAATCATCTCCTGTGTACTGTACTATAATCTTTGCTATACAAATTTCAACCATTCATCAAATATACTTTTTTGGTAGATATGAGTTAAAACATCATATGAAATTAAATAACATCATAGTAAAAATGACCTTTCAACCAGCATTGTAGTATTAATAGAATACCTAACTTAATATAACGATGAACAAAAGAATTTACTCTAAAACTCTACCTCAGAATTCTTTTATTAATGTTATTACCAATACAAGTATAATCATTTATCTCATCACCTATATTTTCATTAGTTTGTTAGCCAATTCTATCATTGAAGTAACTAATTTCTATTTATTCCATCTAATAACAATCAACTGGCCATTTAATTAAATTAACCTTGATATTTAACTTAATTTTGTCCAAATATTTTTTTCTCACGTAAAGCCATATTAATTAGTTCATTTCCTCATTTCAGGAAATCAATATTGCTATAAATTGGAGTGATATGGAGCCGATTTTATTCCATGCAAAACAATATTATTGATAAGAAAGAAAATTAGTAGTGCTATGGCAAAAACCAGTGTTTCAATTGTTCTAGTTGTTCTTGTTCTGGCATTATTTCTGAATGGCTATAATGCTGCTGAGAGGGTAGAAAGTGGTTATCCACCTGAGAAAGATGATGGTTATGATTTCAAAGATAAGCATTTTAATTATTTTGTATGCTTGAAATTGTATAAGTTGTGTTATTATGTTGATCATAAGTTTTGTTATGAGTACTTTGAGAAGTGTAAAGATCACGACACCACCGCAGCTAAAGCTGCTAAGGCTCATGCTGGGAGCAAGATTCCATGATCAGAGATCGTGGCCATGGTTTGTGTTTTTATCAAATAAATTTGTGTAGTGAAAATATTATTGTACTATGTACTAAATAAATAATCTTCATCTGTGTATTGTATTACTGTACTATAATGTTGTACCAGATTGAAATAAATTCACATGCGTTTCTTGTGTCTTTGTGCTTCCCTATATATGTCCTTCATTTTCCACCAAATGGATAAGAAAAAGACAATGTTCACATAAAAACTGTCAGCATGCTTTGAACTTTCAACGATTGAATCCAGTCTTGCACATCATTAGATTATAGCCCACTTAGATATACACATGGACAAATCAATTACCAACTTAGATAAACAATATTAATATCTGTATTTTTATTCATATTTACTATATAAAAATGTCATAACATCTTTTAAAAAATATATCCCTATTATAATATTCCACATTTTATGTACTTTCATTTATACTTCTATTTAAACATCTACATTCAACGATAAAATCTTTAAAAACTTCTTCAAAAACTTAATATATGCTATTTTATCACTTACTGGTTTATTTTTTATTTGTACGGTAACAAAGGTTTGTCAAACTGCAAATAGAGACAAGTTTTATTATACTCTGTCCTGCCAATTGCATTACTATCAGACACAGACATGCAATAAGAGCCCTAAGTGATGGACTAAGGAGCTAAGAAATATTCACACCAGGAAAAGTTGTGAGAAAAGCCGACTCAACAGCACAAAAACTTCGAAGGAAAATACCAAAAATTGCAAGATCTTGCCAACAGACAAACAGAGGCTTTGATTAGCTTGTTACAAAATGGAGTTTTGCATTAAAGATTATGAAAAAGGAGAGTTTCTGTTTAGGCGTCTCACTCAATCAGTTTCACATCTTAATATGGACTCACTCAATCAGTTTCACATCTTAATATGGACTCACTCAAATCAGTTTCACACAAAATACGGTTTAGCAAGAATAGTAATAGTAGCTCAATAAACAGAAACAATAAGATCCAAGTCAAGTATGTTTCACTGATGATAAGGAGAAAAAACATCCATTTAAGGTAAACTAGAATGAGGTACATACGCCCATGGATAGAGAAAAATACTTAATCATGACTCGTCAAAATACCAATACAACATGAGAATATAAATTTAGGTGTTTGTAGCCCTGGTGTAAATCTGTTGGCTCGAGTGGGATGATACCAACCTGATCAAACCTTTAGCCATCAAATCTCTTATTGCTCTCCTAGCAAGTGATCCATTAACCTGCATAACGCGTTGAATTATACAAATCATGAGAATATGTTCTTCATATAAAAACAAATAACCACAAATACAGAAACAGAAAATATTGGTAACATTCACACTATTTACAGCTCAAGATATTCTAAGCAATGCCAGTTGAACCAATATCGTACATTGATTGTAATCTTGTGCTTGCACGGGCATATACTTATATAGTATCTTGAGCTGTATATACTGAGAATGTTGCGCAAAGTATGATCAAAACAGCAAAGAATAGTCTAGGCATAAATATAAACATTGGACACGAAGCAAAGTGAAAATATGTAATCTAGATTCACAATCAACAAGTTAAGCAAAACTTACACCTACTTTCTTGATACCAGCAATAAAGATTTCTCATTTCTCTCAATTTTGGGCAAAAAGTAAACCCTCATTCATGAAAACATTGATCCACCAAACAAAAAGTTCACAAATACAAACTAGTTTTTAATCCACCAAGCAACATGACCATATTTTAATCCACCAAACAAAAAGTTGACAAATACAAACTAGTTTTGTATTTCTAAATCTATAATCTATAATGTTGACAATGCCACCCCACATATGCCTCACAAAATTGATAAAAATGCCTCACACAAGAGTCGAGGGATTATACATTTATAAATATAAAATACATAATAGGATATCATCAGCATAAAGCTATGCAGACAGGATACACAATTAAACAGGATTTAACACATCTCATAATAGATCCAAGATTGTATCGCGACTCGGGTAACACAAAAAACCAATGCATAAGTTTCAAGTATGACATTATTAAAGTCTAGATAAACATAATACATCACAATTTAAGAACAAAAAACACTAAGAAATAAGAAATAAAGGCCTTATATAAGATTACAATAACAAAACAAAAAACATTTGTAAGCAACTCCTTAGTTACATCACAAATTTGACATATAAAACCAATCAAAATACCACCAAAAATACTCATCATAAACATTCTTAACCAAAAAAGTAATATTCAAGTAATAAAGAGAAAAAGGGTCAAACAAGAGTTACCCTCAAACGATCAGATAGAACCGAAGGAGTAATGAGCTTGTATTTAGGAGCCTCAGTGAGAAGCTTATCATAAGTTCCCTGATCAAACAACACCATGTTATTCACCTTCTCCTTCTGCTTACCCTTGCTCCACTTCTGTTAAAATCACAAAAATTCAACATTAACATCACACTAACACAACAAAACCATCCATCTCACAAATCCAATCTGACCCAACTTTCATAATAACAATTAATCAGTAAAAAATTGAAACTTTAACAAGAAAACAGAACCTTCTTCTTCTGCTTGCCACCACCAGACTTTGCAGGCTTGGAGGACGGTGGAGGAGCCTTTTCCTTCTTTGGAGCCTGAAATTACCATCAAAACATACACAGAACGAAAATTAGAAGCAATGATTAGAAGAAAAACAGAGATAATCTCGAAGGTTGAAGAGAAAGTACCATGGTGAAATCGCAGATCAGTGACGGCCGCAGAGAGAGGATCACAAATTCACAGTCACAAACCTGAATCACCTAGGGTTTTACAACTTTTTTGTTATATGAAAAGGCGAAAAGAATTGGGCTCAAATATGGCCCAATAATATCCAATTCGGCCCATAATCCATTCAAATTTGGCCCAATAATGTTGCCTAACAAAAGTTTATTTTTTAAGTTTCTTTAAAACCACTCCCTTCTAGATTTAGATGGAAAAGATTACAATTTATATATTCATATAGAGAAAAATAAAAAAATTCTTTCTCATCTAAATTGGTAAATCGAGAGGAGTGTTACTTTTGAGAAAACTAGTAAAAGACTTGTGCGTTTAAACGGATCACGCAATGTTGTATATGCTACGGAAAGTAGAATATGTAATATGGATCTTGATTAAACTTATATTACATGAGGAATGAAACTAAAACATTGATGTTGACCTTCTAAAATAAAAACTACTGACAAAAGCATAAAAAGATTATGTTAAAACCAACATAACAACATCAAAGGGATAAAGAAAAATTAATCGGAGTCATCACTTATTACATACTTCACTATGTCCTTTCTCACATGCTTAACGTAAAGTGTCTTAGAATCAGATAGATAATGAAAAATCAAGACATCTCCAACATTTAAGTTTCTTGAATTTGCATATCCATACCAACCCTTTCCAAGATACATCTCAGTATGTGGCATTTTTCCCTTAAGAATTTTACGATCCTGGAATTTTACAAAAATAAATGTTGTCAGTTGTCGTTCAATAAAGATAGTCGTTGGTAAGCAAAGTGAATATTCTATCTGATTTGAAAACAGAGAATACATTGTTCAAGCTATGTTTTAAAACAATTAAAAGTCGGTTAATGCAAATAGGTTAATATAATCATCAATGTAAAATCAGAAATTTCATACATTGTAATCAATAACGACCTTATAATGGAAATTATGTTCAACATACACTCTATAAATTTTCAAAGACTTCTTTGAAAACCACATTTGTTGTGGTTGTCAATGGTTGTTTATCCTTGTCATGAATTAAGATTTAAAGGCATTTTCTGCTTTTTACTCTTGAAACTGTAACATAAAACTGACCATGGATGAACACACTCCTCGGCAAATATATACCGACATGATCTAACAACTGACCTTGTGATTTGTTAATAGTCATTGCGTAACAGACATTTATAGGAAATTGTCTTCATGTCATCCTGAAGGGCCATGGGGATTGAGTAGGAGTAATGTCCATTCTTACGATATAAATGATACCCCTGATGTTCTTGCCAGAAATAATCTTTGCTTCAATAACATGATCAATCAATCTTATAACAATGAGTCGTATTCCATTGCATAAACCTTCTGCTTGGTCAATATTCCTAAGAAGCATGAATGGAGTACCAATTTTCAATCTGATCTTATGATTAGGAAGACCAGAAGTTCTTTGTTTGTTCAAAAATTCAGGAGTTAAAACATCAAAAGATTCATTGTTGTCACCATCAAGTGTATCAACTGAATCAGAGCTTAAATATTCCTTTTCTTCGCCTGTAAATACAAAAACTTGTATTATTATGTAGAGCGTTAAAAATGACAGATAGATGACAATAATTAAATATACAGTCTGCCAATTACCTGGAAGACATTCTAATACATACTAATTTATTTGATCAATTGTCTCGATGGTTCCAGCCAATATTGCCCTTGAATGCAAAAAAAAAGCTACATTATTGAAATTAACTTCAAAATTTGGATAAGTGTTTTGAAATATTGCTGCAAGGGGATCATCAAAATTTGTAATCAATAGATCGACTGGAATATCAATATTCGTGTAACCATCATTAGGTTTTTCTAACTTTCCATCTCCAACTTTTAATTTCCAATTTGAAAATTATTCTAACTCAGAAGGCACTGGTGTCGTCCCATTAAAGTCGCATGTTCTTCGTGAGTTTCAAAACCTTACAATGATCCCATATGTATGATGAATTGATTGTTACATGAATTATATCTGAATGGTTGCCTCTTGGAATAACCGGTAGAATCTGCCTGAAATCGCCACCAAACACAATTACATTACCACCAAATATTTTATCTGATGATTTGGATCCACCCATCATGTCTCTGAGTGTTTTATCCGATGCTTCAAAACAAAATTTGTGACACATTGGAGCTTCATCAAATTATTAATTTTGATACTTTTAGTAGGTCGCCTCAGTCACTTCCCTTGTTTATATCGCATATGGAAGAT